TCTCACTTCACTCTCAGGAAATGTAAGTTGGCTCATCTTTCTCTTCTTGGAAGATATTCAGCAAGCTGGGGGCTTCATTGATACTTGTAAATACGGAAGTTTGTCATATACTGTAGTGTATTCTCATTCGATATGGAACAATTAGAGTTCATAAGATTTAAAAATAGATGCTGCTTTTCCATTAGTGCTTTTTTTAAAAATAAAAACAAAAGGTAAATAAAGGATTGCCTTACTAAATTTGATATGGGTAACTCAATGCTGCTTTACAAAGATAGAACTAAAACTGTTTATAGCACACTGAATACACAGTTAATTCATTCATAATTACTTCTTTTAGCATAGTAGCACTAGGAGAACCAGCTGGTATCTGCACTTCAGAAATTTTCAGAACTTTTTTAGGAAACAAATGAATAAGCAAATATTTTGCCAAAAATCAGTTTATACTTGATCGTTACAAACAGTGGAAGGTATGCACAAAGTAAAGTTCATGTGAAATTCCTGTAACTGCTCTTCTAGTAACTTCATAATGTACAGTCTGTACCGTGCTTGGGCCACAGTACCTGTTTTTAGGAAAAATTATGGCTACATTTAATCCAGTACAAAAGAGGAGAATGTACCAAAAGCCTTTGCAATTCTGAGTGTATATATATGCTTTGACAGAGTGGCATATAGTTATTGCAAGAACGTCAGTGTGTATTTAATAACATTCTGGATGCATCTGCCTAACGCTTCAAGCTCTGGAACACTGAGATACCTGAATGTCTGGATTTGTAATATATGTGTGTGTGTATGTATCTATATGTGTGTGTGTGTATATATATATGTACAGTCTAAAACCTTTTATTGTTAGGGATTTTCCTGCTCGTTATCTTTGGTCTCCTCAATTTTCCAGCTGGCGCCTCTGTAATTTATAGTACACCTTAATCCAGCAGACTAGGGTGGTGTAAATTTAAGCCTGTATGTTCAGTTCATGTGCTTCAATTCCTGTTATTGTTTTCAGCAGTTTCCACCGAGGGTGTGCTTCATTTTGAGAACACAGTGCTCCATTCATCAACTTTAATTTTTTATTATATACTACTGACAATATGGACAGAGGGAGAAAATCAAACTGTCTAAATTCCACCTAAAGTATAATTTAGTCAGACTTTGGGCGCCTGAGTCTCAGAGAATGATTCAAATCGCCTGCTCTCAAGCACCACCTAACCCCTGGTGGGACCTAAAATGAATCATTTTGGACAACAGATTTCCCCCAGCGTCTGGGCATAAGTTCCAGGGAAGCTGAGAAGCACCGTGGTTTAAGCAGCCAGGCATGTAACTCCCACCCAAGTTTCACTGTGACTCAGAGATGTATATAGAGATGCCTGTGTCCCCAGAGGTGCCTAATCCATTGACTGTGCTTCATTCGCACATAATAATCTTGGACAGCATTTAATTCAACACAAACCACAGCAGTCATGAGCATTGTCAGTGTAGAAGGCGGGGAGAGGGCCTTTTCAATAGCCTTAAAGTTAGAGCAGTCATCCAGGAAGGATATCTGGTTTGGGTTGTCCTAAGCTAAGGAAGCTCAACAGGATTGGGAGAACTTGACTGTTGTTATCACTGTTAAGGATATTTCCTGGGAAAGGAAAATCTCAGATTCAGTCAAGTCTGATTATGTATTTTGGTTCAGACACTTTTGTCCAAAAAAGCATAAGCATCCCCTGGTTCAGAGACCAGATGCCGAGGATACCCTCACTTGCTTGTCTGTTTTAACTTGGAAGTTCTTGCTTATCGTCTTTATAGATGAATTTGCACACTTATTAATTGCTACTCATATTTCTGTAATGTTAGGGCTTTCTTAAGACCTGTCATCTTTCTTACTACTTTGGGCTTAGACACCATGATGTACTACCCTAAATTAATGTTCTCTGTATTTGTGCTTTACATGTGTAGACTTTGAAGTGAGCTTGGTACAGGTTTCCTTTATACTTATTCTCTCTCCTTTTCCTATCATTCTTTCCCTGTGCCACATGGAAAGGGTAAATATGCTGTGAGGAAGTACTTGTTGAGCTGTGGACAGGTGGAACAACTTGCTTTTGTATTTTTCATTCATGTTTAATGCTGCTTCTTTATTATTTTCATGACATCTTATTAGTTTTCTTATTAGTTTTTCAATGTTTGTAGATGCGATCAGGCAAAACAGTTTATTAAACATTCAAAGAACTTCTGAATTTCAAACTAAGTATTCTGCAAATTTTGTTTTGGCTTTTCTCATGTTCTGATACGAGGTTTTAGGTTCATGTTTCTGTTCCAGCTTTCCCTCCTCCCCCCATCAAATGTCATTATATATTTATTGTTTAAAACATATACATTTTGCTTATTTCTGAGTTTTTAACTGATCTTTAAGGAGTACAAGATACCATGGTAGTAATACTTAATTTTTGCTATAGTATCTTACTGATCGTCTGTACCTAAGTCACTTCAGTGCTAGATGCATGCTTTTTCTTCTATTACATTCAACTGAAGCCACTCACGGAGCAAGAGCATAGGGGAAATTGTGTATACTCAGTTTTCTGAGTATTTTATCCCTTCAATTTTTTCCTTTTAGCATTCACAATCTGGCTGGAAGGGTGGAGTGTTAAGTGTATACTTTAAAGCGTCTATTAATGACTTTTTGGTCACCAAGGAGTGTTCATATAGTTACACAATGAGAACTCTTCTCAGAATAAAGATACTGCTTCTGTTAAGTTATGTCTTTGGTATACAGTAGCTGTATACCAAATTTGTGCTGTTTGTTGGCCAGACACTGCAACAAGTTTCCCAGAGGGTTGTGGAATAATCTGCATTTGTGGAGACTTTCAGAACTCAGCTGGACAGGACTCACAGTAACCTGAAATAATGTTCAAGTTGGCCCTGCTTTGAGCAGAGGATTAGATCCATTGGCATCCAGAGATACCTTCCTTCCTACCTAAATTATTTTGTGAATCTAACTGAATTTATCCTTGGTCCAATTCTACTGAAATCTTACCTCTTCAGTTGACTTCGCTCAAAAACAAAAAAATCAAACAACGCCCTTAGGAATTAATTTGACCTTGTCTGCTTTTCTTGTTTCTCCCAATACAGTTTTCTCTGTCAGTTCAAAGGTAAGAGAGGCTAGAGTGAACTCGTGCCCTTTTTCATAGTTCTGGCCCATACCTTAGTTCTTTTCCTTTTTCCCAAATGGTTTGATGAACAGTTAAGGAAGATAATTTTATATCATGTGCACTCACACACAACCACATTTTTTTGATAAAATTCTGAAAGAAGCACTTAAAATTTTAGAAGCTTAATACTGTCATTCATTTAGATAGCTCCTAAAGTGTCAGGGAGGCTTACAGTAAAAAGCAAGGATTGTGGAAAAAAAAAGAAAAAATGCTTCATATTTACTAGAGTACCTACCATGTCCAGAAACCACTTCCGTTTGTTTTGCAGACTTAAAATACCAATGATGGTTTCCCTTCCTTTAATTTGATGAAGACTTCTGGTCATTTCCCTTCTACAGTTGTCTGCTCTTTGCCCATTAATGTAAATTCCCCTGTGTCTCCCAATATGGAACTTAGCTGGGAAAGTTAATTGATTTTGGAGAGCTAATCAGATGCTCCCCCAGCCAGATATCCTGTCTAGTTTACAGCTGTAAACCTGAGATGCCATCTCCTTAGTGCCTGGGGTGCTGTAAACCATAGGACTGATCCCATGTCCAAATAGTTTACTGTTCTGCAGAGATGCATTCATGTATTACTGATGCCCAATGAAGGTATTTTATTTCTAAATTATAACCATATTCTCTATGCTATAATTAAAATACAGAGTATTATGAAATCTAGGTCCAAGTCCTGCAAAGCCACTTTTGCCTTGCCTTTTGACATTTAAAGATCTATAGCTGTACAACAGAGCATATGGGCCCACTAACAATGTGGGAGTGCAGCCAATTTGGTCCTGGGATAAATCAGGAATCAGCTGTGGGAAATAAGCCAAAGAAGTGCGATTCCCACATAAGGGACTTAAATAGGTGTTAGTCCATAAAGAAGCTCTTTGGAAGGATTCAGAGCAGGCTGCTCTACACAGAAGACGTTTTTCCTGAGATCCTAAGTTAACCGAAGTGCACTGATTTCCAGGAGGGTTGTGGGGTTACTGTCTTGTCAGCTGGTGCTTTCCTCTTTTTTTTTTTTCCCCTTTGTTTTGTTTTTAGTTTTGTTTTGTTTTTTTGTTTTTTTTTAAATAAAGCCTTTATAGCACATTACTGTGTAATTATAATCCCATGTGTAGTTTTTTAGAACAAAACCATTTGCTTCTTCTGTTCTGATCCAGGGAATGCCTTTTGTAATGTGGCTAGTTGGGCAATCCTGACAGAAAAGGAAAGGAATAACCAAAAAAAAAAAAGGAATAACAAAATAAAAAAAAACAATTCATGCAAAAACCAATGCATTCCTTGTTTTTCTTAGACTGCTGAATTCCAACTGTTCTGATAGTCAAGATGTCCAAGTCATTGCCCGTGGAGGTCACTGGATCAAACCCCCTGCTCAAACCAGGACCAGCTTGAAAGTTAGATCAGGTTATTCTGAACCCTGTCCAGCTGTGTTTTGAAAGTCTCCAAGGACGGGGATTATTCCACAAATCCTCTGGGAAACTTGTTCCTATATCCCAAGAAATGGATTGGGAAAAGCAGTATTTTAAAATATGTTTATGTGTGACATTCATTTTGCAGCAGTTCTTTTAAGACTCCTACTTATAGTAATCATAGATTTTTAAAAATTTAGAAAAAAAAAATTCATTAGTGAGATCTTCAGCCATTTATTGTTACAATTAGACTGAATTGTGCTTTTGAGAAGAGGCACTTTGATCGCTGAAGCCCATGAATTTGTATGAGTGTGAGTGTTTGGCTCCCTTGTTTTCACCAGGTATTATTTCTGTTCACTCCTTTTAAGCACTGTTTGTGTGTACAAGAATAACAAGAAATATTTTTTTCCTCCCTCCTACCGTAGGCAAGTATTTCCAAATGGGCTTCCTGAAGAATACTCTCTAGTTGCTACGTTCCGTGTACGGCGAAATACCAAGAAAGAGCGTTGGTATATATGGCAAGTTTTAAATCAGTATGACACACCTGAGGTTAGAGTCATCTTTGATTTACTTTTTTCATTAAGTTTCTTTTTTTCCCATATAATACGGCAAATACAGCTTAGTGGATGTTTCACCACTGAATTTAGCTACAGTTTATATGGAATAGATAGACTGCTCTGAAATAATTGATGATTTATTATAGGAATGACAGAAATTTAACAAAAGGTATTGAATTAAACCTGCAAGCTAGGATAAGAAGGCTATGTGGTTTATAGCTGATAGGTATTTACAAAGTTACATAGAAGAATGCTTCATAACATAATTCTTGCACGACCTATGTAGTCAAAGTACTTTTATTATATATACTTTATATATGTGTTTAATTCTTAAACTCGTAACTTTTAAATGACCATTTCTTTTATTTTATTTTGCTTTCAGATCTCGGTCCTTCTGGATGGTACAAAAAAGGTTGTGGAGTATATGACCAAATCTGCTCAGGGAAATATACTGCACTACACTTTTAAGAGTCGAGAAATTTATCCATTGTTTGATCGGCAGTGGCATAAGCTTGGTATTAGCGTGCAGTTGGGGATCATTTCCCTCTATTTGGATTGTAATTTAATTGAGAGAAAGCAGACTGATGAAAAATTCACCATTGACTTGCAGGGAAGGACTCTGATTGCTTCTCGCGCTGCAGATGATAAGCCTGTAGATGTGAGTAGTATGAAAGGAAAACCAGATAACTTGAAATCATATTTTAGCCACGCTTTTGCTAACAACATTATAAAGAATTATGTAGGTAAAAGGTTCAAAACTGGTTATTAATTTTGAGTGTGTATTCTTAATTTGAAGTCCTTAAGTCTTTTTCTCTAAACAATAGTCAATGCTTTAGCATCTGCTAAGGCAAACCTGTTACCAAATTAACTACAAAATCTCGGTCCTGGTTTCAGGAGTCTGTTTTTCTGTATTTGTTTTGGAGTAAGAGCCACGTAGTCACCACAGATGTATTATTACTGCATTTATGGATAACTTCCAGCATAATATTTCTTTCTTTCAGTTTTTGTGAGATTTATTTATAAGTAGGTATCAGTCATCTGTTACAGCTTGTCTCTCTTTGATAAAGGGGAGACACAAAAAAGATAAGGATTACCTCTGCATCAGGACTCTATCACATTCCTGGGTAATTCAGCTATGCAGAAATAGGGGCACGTTCTTCATAGTCATTGTTCCCTCCTCCTATGGGAGGAATTAGGAAGTGGCTGGAGGTGTGTTTCCTGCAGCCTTTGGTGCAAGAATTACCCAGGGGTAATTACTGGGTTGTATTCTGCCCCAGACATGCTCTCCTCTGTTTCCTCATGCAGAGAGCTCACAGCAAGTAATTTGAAAGCTGCAGGAAATGTCAGTTTGTTTTAAGTATGCTGACATCCAGTTACAGGTTTAAAGCATCTGGCATGGAGTTTATAGTGAACGTCTGAAATCCTGAGCTACATTATATACACTGTACAGTTCTAGATGAAAATAGCACATTGTAACTGCAAGCTAGCATTGTGCGAGGAATCAGTCCTTTGAGGTACCAAACACTTTGGCTTGGACTCAGAGCTCTCATTTCATAGGGCCAGGCTCATGCTTCATTTTATTTTCTAAGACTGAGTTCAACTTTATTTGAAATGTATGTACCACCTCCTCATTTCCAAGTCACACGCAGGAGAAGGAGCAGATTCTTTCTATCTTGTGTTGCTCGCGTGGCACAGGCTGGATAATTCTGAGTGCAGAGGGACCTGGACAGGCTGGAACAATAGGACGAGGCCAGCTGTATGAAGTTCAAAAAGGCCAAGTGCCAGGTCCTGCACTTTGGTCACAATAACCTGCACCTTGAATACTGTGTTCAGTTTTGGGCCCCTCACTACAAGAAAGACGTGTTGCTGGAACATGTCCAGAGGAAAGCAACAAAGCTGGTGAGGGGTCTGGGGCACAAGTCTCCTGAGGAGTGGCTGAGGGAACTGGGGTTGTTTAGTCTGGAGAAGAGGAGGCTGAGAGGAGACCTTATCACCCTCTACAACTACCTGAAAGGAGGTTGTAGTGAGGTGGGTGTTGGTCTCTCCTCCCTGGTAATGGGTGATAAGACAAGGGGAAATAGCCTCAAGTTGTGCCAGGGCAGGTTTTGATTGGACATTAGGAAAAAATTCTTCACCAAAAGTGTTGTCAAGCACTGGAATGGGCTGCCCAGAGAAGTGGTAGAGTCCCCATCCCTGGAGGTATTTAAAAGATGTGTAGACGAGGTGCTTAGGGACATGGTTTAGTGGTGGGATGGCAGGGTTAGGTTAATGGTTGGACTTGGTGATCTTAAAGGTCTTTTCCAACCTAAATGATTCTATGAGTGGAAGTTGTCAGTTGGGATTTCCATGTTTGCAGGAAAACATGGGCATAAAGCTGATGAAGGAAGCAGAGTGGATCCTGTACTAACAGTCACTTTTCTCAATACCATGTGCAAGGGAAATAATAAGAAGATACAAAACAGTTGTAGAGAGAGGTAGACAAGGGCAAGATTAGCTAGTTAAAATTTGATGCTGTTCTTCTCACCAATCCACCCCAAATCTCTGAAACAGAAGCCTTATGTCCAGAATTTGTGATTGAGAGAGCTTATCAAACCTTTACTCTAGTTCACTACTGGAGAAAATTACGTTCCTAAAAAGAAGGTTTGCGAAGGACGTATAGAGGGCTAAAATGCCTATGTAGCATAGCTAGAGCAGTACAGAGGGGTGTAACTTACATAAAGATAAATTAAATCTAAAATATGATTTATAGCAAAATAATAGACTGTATAAATTGTTCCTTAAGAGAGGAGCTATATAATTGTTTTGGATTTGTCTCTTTTTCCGTCATTTCGGAAAATCGCAGTGTTGCAGAGATAAAGTTTATTATGCCAAGATAAGAAAAAGCATGCCATTAACACATGATTTTTTACATCTTAACAGATTGAACTTCAACGCATAACAGTTTATTGTGATCCAAAACTTGCAACAGAAGATACGTGTTGTGAAATATCTGCAGACCTGGTAAGTTATTTGTTAAAATGCAAATGGTAATACAAAAGAAATTGCTTCATTGTTTCTTACTAAAGAGTTGTAAAGAAAATTCAATAGAAGTGTTAGATTAATTACCTCCTAAAAGTGAATCCTGTATCTGGAGTCATGGTACATTTTTTCTTGCTGCCTAACTAAATGGCACAGTGGAACTTCAGTAAAAGGCACTAGGTGCTGCTAGTGCTTTTTAAATGCATTTCTTAACATTGATTAATATCTAATTAGCAACTGAGGAAGTCTCAGAGAGTAGGAAACAAATCACTGCAATGACCTGAGGATGGCTTCAAATAACAAAGGCCATTTCAATAACAATTGTATCTAGTGAAGCTTTACAGATGATAAATAAGGCCCATGAAAGAGTCTTCCTGACAGTGGAAAGGAAGAAAAATAGGAAAATGTTGAGGATGTTTCTCTTATTTCAATATGCTAACATGGAAGAATAGGTGTTTCAAAATTGGCAAATACTTTCTTCTGTATAACACGTGGTGAGTTGTATATATTGTTTAACATAAGGGAAAACATTGATTTATTTTAGAGGGTTCGCTTTTCCCTTTCATTTTGATAGACTGAATCTGTAAAATGGAAGATACTAGAACTATAGAAATGCTTGAATTTGTGGATGTGATTGTTTTGCTGCATCAAGCCCATTTGGAGGGAAAGAAAACAAATTCAGAAAGAAAACATGTTAAAATATTGGTCTGCTAGTTATGAATAGTCTGTGAGGGCAGGCTGCTTTGAGATAGCAGGCAGTACCATCACCACCCAGTCTACAGTCAGCAGAAAAACACAGAGTGTGCAGAAGGACTAATTAATTTCATCTACAAAGAGGTGGGAGAAAATGGTACCTGAAATGGAGGGATAAAGCTGCCCAAGAACAGAGGAGCAAAAGACTTTTTAGGAACTAACAACTGATATAGGTGATCAGAAGCATGGAAGAGGCTGGATCTAATTTATCAAGGGAAATTCCAATTCTAAATAATATTTCATTGTTCAAATAAGTTTCAAAATGTATTCCTGATAATAGTGCAGGTTTTCTCTTGAATGTATAAGCTCATGGATAAGTGAAATGAATGGGTTTTTTTTCTGTGGGTTCCGCTTTGTGCATGGAACTGCAATTTATTTAGCAGTTATGACAGAGTAGCAGAAAAAGTAAAACCAAAACAAACCCTAACTGTATGTGAACACAAAAAGATCAAGGATAGGCTTTATTAATAGCATCCTAAACACTCATTCTGCTATATAGCTAAAAGCACCATCAGTTTCATTGGTATGAATTATGCTGAAGATAGAAAAAAATGGTGGACTACTTGTTAATGACCTTCATATCGAAACCAGCATTACATTTTCTGATTTATTTTTTCATTACTTCCTTACCAATTATAAGGGCTACATTTTCAGTAATTTAAGGGAAGGAATTTATTCCTGGATACAAATTTCTATGCTGAGTTGTAAATCCTGTGGGAATTTCTTTAACAGAAGGCTCACGGGAGACTTCATTACAATGTAATGAGAGCTTCTGAAATTTATCAGGTTCTGTTGACTTGTACTGTAGTGTATCTTTGAGTTGGCTCAGCTCTCAAGAGTTACAGGCAGGTGAATATTGGCTTTTTGTTTGTTTCCGAACTGTACATGCCCAAAGTATTTAATTACCAAAAAAAGACAGAATTTTCCCTCACTTTCACTCTGACATTTTGCATTTTGGGGTGGGGGCTGGAGGATGGGATGAGACTGAGAAGTACCCTCTTTTTTTATTCTCCCATGGGCATCTTCTGCTTTGCTACTTCTAATTTTTGGAGACTTTATTCCTCTGTTTGGGCTCTTTAGGAGGAAGAACTGGCACAGTCAGATCAGTTTTAACTGGCATTGATTTTAGTGCAGAAGGATCACAGTGTCTAGACTTCATTTTACTACAGCTTTTTCCTCTGTTTGGAAATTATGGCTTCTATGTAATATCATATGTACAGGAGTATTAAAACAGAAAGTAACTTAAAAATAGCATTTGAATGGTATTTATCTGTTAATCAAAGTGGACCAGAAATCAGAAAATCTTCTTTTTTTTTTTTTTTAGTGCCCACATGAGGAGAGGTTATTTGCTACGACTTCATCACCACTTACTGTTCATGCCAGCAAGATATACACGCTTCCAGGAATGCAGCAAGAATCTAGAGAGAGATGCCACTGCTTTCCAAATAAAGTATGAGTTTTTCCTATTGCTTTTTAGTGCGTTAGCTGTTTAATCCTGCTAGGTATTAAAAAAAAAAGTTGATTTTTTTTTTTTTTTGTAGTTATGAAAAACATGGTACTGGTTTGTAGTGTTGTAATGTACTTACATTGTATTTCCCCCTTAAGAAACGGTACATTTTAGATTTAGTTAACTTAGAGTTGAAGAGATCTGTAAGGTTTCGTTGTCTGAATACATGCCAAAAAAAAATCCATGGTAAAAATGAGAACTGTATTTAGGCATTGTATTTAGTGTAAATGCTTATACTTGAGAAGAAAGTATTTTCTACATAATGCTTTTTAAAAAATTCTTGTCCTAGATGTTGCACTATATTTATTCTGAGTCCTTTGCTTTGTTAGGCTTTTGTGATAAAGACTAGGAAGCCAAACCAAATACATCTTTTGATTCTGCTGCTTTCCTGATTTTTGATTTCTTTTAAAATCAGGGAGAAGCAGGATTGCCAGGAGTAGCTGGTTTGCCAGGCCAGAAAGGACATAAAGGTGAAAAGGTAAAATATCAATTGAATTTTCTCTTTCAAATCTTTGTCTTTGGCTTATCTTTCTTAAATAGAAACTTCGTGGATTTTGTTTTTCCTTAAAGGAATCTCCCTGTACACAGGTTAAATCCGTTACCAGTCAGTCTCTGGTTCTGTGCTTGGGCTTCCTGCCAGACAGCCTACAGCTGTCTCACTTTGGGGTCCCTCATCAGCTTCATGGAACACAGTTCACCTGCCTGGGAAGCACATGTTTACCTAACCCTGTCAGCATGTCCCATTGTCTGTTCCCCTTATCCAAAAAAAAAAGAGAAGTCATGTATGTTGTCTGTGACAAGGATTTTCCCGTATAGAGTGTGTACGTCACTGCTGATGGACAGAATCCTATGCGGTGGGTTCATCCTTGCAGTCATCAGCAGGAGGGTATGAATTCAATCCTTTGACCTCAGCACTGTATATTCTTTGACGTCACTCTTACCTGTAACTTTCTTAATTGTGAAGAGAGAGGGACCTGACATTGGCAAGCCCCTAGGACAGGCCCAGCCAGTGCGCCTTTTCTTGGGCCTATTCTGTATTTTTGTTCTGTAGTGCTTACTGTAATATTCCTGTGTTATTTAGCCTGGGGGTTTCCTAGTAATAAAAGTCAGCATATCAGATGTTTTCCCTTCACACTCCATTCCCTAAATTTGGTTGGAGGATGCTGGATTAGGACATGTCTGGGAATGTGTTTTTCTTGTGCTAATAGAGGGGGCAACTTGAATAAACTACTGCAAATCAGCCAGAAAGACAGTGGATAGGAATTCTGAGTTCAGGGAACGCAGGGTGAGAGGAAGATACCTGGAACGTCCTAATCCAGAGGTTAGGTTGGAGGTGTTCTAAACCAGCATCCTCCCTCACTGCACACTGATAATATACATGATCTGAAATATTTTGTGAGGACAGCCAGCACTGTTCTTAGGACTGCAATACCTGGCTGAAATGGGCCCAGTTCTGTGAGGGCTTATCTACACAGTCAATTGAAATTAAGTAAATACTTTGATAGTGTCTTCCCCCCCAGTTCCTCCCCTCTAATATATATTTCAGTTTTGATACTGTATCTTCTTCCTATGTGAAGAAAAAAGAAAAAGCTTAAGCACGTTAGTTTCTGTAGCCCAGGTGAACCTAGAGGGATTGCTGTCAGTTTCCAAATTTAATAATGAATTTTTCCTGATCCCAGGTATATAGAACAATTGTCAGTGTTAGCGCTAGCCTATGTTACCAACATAGTGGGGTTCCTAGCATTTATTTGGGAAACTGCTCTTCAGCTCCTGACATGATCCGTTTAGACTGTTACTGCTACTAAGATGAGAAAGGAGACTTAGAAGTCTAGTTTTTTTACCATGCCATCTCACAACCAACTAGCAATATTTACCATGCTAAGCATAGTACCTCTAAATAAAGCATGTGGGTCTGTTCTCCTCTTTGCTTTACAAAGAAACCCTCACTGCATAGATTCAAAAGCCACCCAACAGTCAATGAACTCTTTTGACTTCTGTGCATCACTGATAGCAAATTGCATGAGGCCATGTCTGACACGGTAATTACAAAGTATAATATTTTTGGTTTAGATGTAAAACTGAAAATTGTTAAGCTTGAGATTCATGAAAAATAAATCTTTCAAGATTTATACAAATAGGTATTTTTTTGGTAGTGGCCTCTACTACCTATAAGTCCAAATTTGATGTGTTTATGACCAGCCACTGTGATACTTCACTGAATATTATGTGCATACAGCAGCTTAGCCTAATGATAGTAAATTGACATTTGTGAATGTCAATTCACAAAATTCGATGAATCAGCAGGTTAGAGTCAGAAGTGCTTAATTTGAACCTTCCTTATAACTGACCAGTACTTGCTACTTCCTAGCTTTGGAGTTGGGGGTTTATTTGGTTTAGTTTGGGGGTGGGTGGAAGGCACATCACTGCTGTGATTAAAAAGATAGTCTCACTGTTGACCTTGGGAGCAAATGAATACTGCCTTGAATAGTGCCTACCATGACAGAGTTGAATGCCACATTCTCTGACGCTTTAGGAACCATTTTTTTCTTCGCCTCTGCATTTATGCAAGTTTTCAGTAACGCTTGCTCTCAGTGATGGCCTTGTTACATCAATAATTAGAGGTGGAGAGGCAGCAAGACCCCAGACCATTCCAGACATGCAGGATACATGATTTATTGCCAGATTATGTAAAGGAGAGTGGTTGGATATTTTGTAATACGTTCTACATGAAATAGGCAGCTTCTTTATGACTTTGCTGCCCAGTCACAGAAAAAACAGGATTTCTGTAAGTTGTATGAATGCTTTTCAGCCTGTTCCCCACATTGCTTGCACTCAGCTCTTCATTTTATTGTTTTCTTCTGCTTCTAAGTCATCTTATTATTAGCATCCAATGACCTATATCTAAATGTCCTTGCCACGACAGCATCCAAGTGAAAACAAGTTACTGTTAATTTTTTAGCTCCTTTCCTAGGAAATTTCTGTATCTGTTGATATTAACTCTTGTTCAGCACAATATTCCTTATCCTTTTATTTTTAATTCTCTCATTCCAGTTTCCCATCTACTGTAATTAATTGTATGACTGCATTTACATGTCTTTTTTTGGTATGGGATTGGCAAGAAAGTGTCTACATACACAAATTGGTGTTAGGCTATATTCAAGCCCCCCAAAATTGCCCTTCTCTTCAGCCTAACATAGCTGTTTGCTAAGATCATACTCTGTTTTGCCTGTTCAGGAACACCTAACCTATCACACATAGAAAGCATGATACCTGATAAACCATTTTTAGGTATTTTGAATTTAATTATTAGCCTGTTTCCACTTCATTCCTATAAACTTGGCAGTACTCTTGGTAGTCCTGTACTCTTGGCTCATTTTGGTACCTCTGAACAGGTCTGAGCCAAAGTCCAAAGTGTATTGTGGCCCAAATGACTCAAGTACCATATTTTCACTGGAACAAGCATGCATACAAATATTGATGCATCTCTGGCAAGCGGTCCATCTGAATGTACAGAAGCATCACTGATCAGAATTATTCCATTTGTGTGAATGACCTTCCTATTTGTGTGCCTGGCCTTCCATTATGGCTTTGTGAGGACATTATGAGGACAGTTCTTCACTCAACAATAGTAGTATTCTCTCTGGTGCGTTGGGGGTGAAGAAGCTGCTCAGTTTCAAGACTGTCTCCCTTCTTGAATAACCAGACTGTTCAGTTTGGTACCATACACCACTTACTGTGTAGCAAAAACTGCCTCAAGGGCAGTAGTCCCTGTCCCTTTTGTTTCCTGTGCAAGCTTGATCCAGGGATGTTTGCTCTGCAGGATTTTATTTGCTGGGAGATCAGCTTCTGCAGCTATCTGCAGGAAGGGATGACCTGTTCTTTAATGTCTGAATAATTAAGACTCAAAAAGTCACCAGGACCAACTTTTTTTGCTGCTTACTGAGCTCTGCCCTTGAAAGATACTTTTGGGACTGCCTGGTAGCTTTTTTCCATTGGATGTAAACTGAGAGGCAGCAGCAGTCAAATGTACAGTTTAGGTTATCCCTGAATAATATACCATGTTACTCTTGTGGTAGCTTGATTCTTACTTAGCACAGTGTATTTCACGAGTTTCAAGTGGTCACAAGTCAGGTAGAAGTCTCCTGTGACTTTACCGCATTTTGATATCTGTTCTGTAGAGCTAGGTTTCTTCTGTTGAGCTGAGTAAGAAATTTACTGATTTCTGTTTTGGAAGCAATTTCTACTACTTCAGCATGGTATACAGCTACTCAGACTCTTACAGGTATATTTGTTGTAAGCAAATATCTTTTGATCACTATGTGAAGTTCCTGTTTTGTCCTCAATATGTAGAAATTCTTCAGAAAGATAGAAAATGGATCACAGTAACTGGAATGATTACATATATAGTGAATATGCAAACTAATTTTCTTTATCAAAGAGGCTAAAAAAAGTAATTGTATGTTCTTTATGTTTATTTCTTTTAAGCAAAATTAGTGCCCATGAAAGACTTTTTTAATTGAAATCCAAAGAGTATTAAATATTTTGATATAATGTTAAACCATTCCAAGCTGTGTTAATAGGTCATTGGTTAATGCTTTAAGGACAGCAGGGAGCAAAAAGCCAGAGGCAGAGGCCTTTCAAACATTAAAGTGCCTGTAGATGCACACCATGGAGAAATATGTTGCTATTCAAGTGAGCTTCATTAATTTAAATTTTAGTTAAGGAAAAAGACATTTAAAAGGCTATTTTAGGATTGGTAGAGATAGGTTTATGCAATGTATTGTTGCGCTAGGAAAATATTTGTAATAGAATGATAAGAAAAAAAGAACTGGTGGAGAACAAATGAGGTGTCTGACTGCACTTTCTGCCTGTTTTCCTTCCCTCCCCCTCTGTTGTTTCTCTTATAACCCAGGTCCACCTCATTCCAGCTAAGGCATATCTATTGTGTTATGCAGCCTTGAGAATCATTCCTGTCTGGTCCAGTTTTTTTTGTTGCAGAGGTTATCGATAAGGACCTAGAAGCTGGAATGCATGCAAAAGAAGAATTTTGGGCAAAACATGGCTGGCTGTCAGTGATTGTTGACAAAGTCAGGAATTGCCAGTGTACTTGGTAGACTAAAATCTTATAATGGGCAGAAGGGAACACTCCATGCCTATGGAGCGAAGAATTTATTGGTAATCCAACTTAATGCTTTAACCATTTCATAGTCCAAGATATCAAATTAATAAGGAAAAACATGATTAGTAATGCAGTTCAATTTGTTTTCCTTTAAAAAGTCTTAAATATATACCTCTTTTCTATGTTACCATATTCACCATTCCAGTATTCATCTCAGTCCTGAGGATGGCAATTTAAGTCCTCCTCAAGAGGGAATGGAGAGGGTGGCAGTGAGTCCTCAGCACTCTGAGGTGCTCAGGGGATTGGGGGGTGTCACCCCTTCCCAGCAGGGCCAACACAGAGCTGAAGCTGGAGCAGGG